ACACGTTCATTTTAGCGTTCTAGGCCATGCATAAGGTTTCATGTTTCAGTCTGGTTTTGAAGCCCCGTACAGCCAATCATGCAGCTGTGTCATCAGCTCCACAATTTGCATTTGCTGCATGTGGCGCTGTGGGCTGTCTGAGCAGATCAAAGTGTGTTATATTATCTATCTTTCTTTTATTTACAGGCCCTTATGCGGTAAAATGGTTTCTCAGTTTCAGTTGCTAATAAAAAAAAAGCCTCGATACGTACTAGAGAATTTTTCCCACAAATTCAAGCCTCCATTCAGTGACTGGCCCGTTCAATTCTACACCGTCTGAGTCACATCCAGGTGGAACCATGTGGAAAGCATTTAGGCGTGACATGTTTCTAAAGCTCAGTGCCCGCATGACCCGTCAACCACCAAAGAGAAGGTTTACCGTGGCTCATCCACAGTCAAAGAGCCGATAACTTCAGCCGCGCCTCACCTGTCTGAGACAGTTTGAAGCTGAACTTTAGGCGACCTTCGCAACTTTGGCAATCACTTTTGCTCAACTTCGGCCTGAGTTTCCGGAGCAACATCTTGCATGCACATTTCCCTCTTATTTGCCAACGAGGAGGCGCAACGCACACACAAAGCAACCTGCAATCAGTTGGTTCCGGCTTTGACTTCATTTCCATGCTTACCGACTCGCAACACAAAGGACGAGCAGCACAGTAACAAGAGAAAGGGAGCTTTTTTTTTTTTTTAAATACCCCTTCTGCGACCAAGGAGCTTTAGCCAAACAAAATGAATTCCTAAAGAGCTCAAACTGCAGGAAAATTCCAGATGCAAACTGAGTGGAATTTTAAAAATAGAACATAGTGACGAATGTAATGGAGTGGGATGGAGGGGGACATAAGTGGAGGATCCTTTGCCAATCAGCTTCTTTATGCATAAATGGTTTGCATAGTATGCAAACCTTTCATGCTAACCATTGTTTACAAAACTAAAATCTAAAACAGGATATTAGAAACACTAACAACAGGGGAGGAAAGCATTTTTATCCTCCTGAGAGAGATGGAAATTGACCAAAGCAGCAGGTTATGTCTGCATCCATCAATTATTGAGAAAACACATTAGTACTGGTAAGACTAAAGTCTGCACTCCATCAAAAGTGCTTTCACTTGTGTTTTGTTTAGTAAAATTAGTTCACCTAAATGGCACTTCTTAGATTCTAGTGAACAATAACTTAAAGGTATAAATTTATACCACCCGTCCTGTTTAATTGCCATTTGCAGCTCGTTTAATAATTACTGCTCTTCCAGCATTTTATATCAACACTCCAGAGCCATTTTATTGTCCAAGACTGACTGAGACCGTTTTGCTATCAAGCTCAGGCTAAGATGTTGCTTCAAGAAAAATTTTGCTACACTAAGAAACCACTGGGTGGCACACTAAAGCAAGGTAATCTCAGTTCTGATTAAACTATGTCAAAAACTAACCCAGACTTTTGGAGGGGAACATAAGTCCACTGGATTTATGCAGAGAGGATTTATCAGAAGAGTTCCTTTAAAACTCAAGAATGTACTCACACCTCATCTGAAAATGGAGAATACTTTTGCTGATGCCCCACAGAGACGTACTGCTGCATGTGAAATGTGTGCAGAAACTAGTGTTGCTTCGCTTTGACAGTGGCTGCAGTGTGTCTGCTGTTGCACCCTAATAGGGATTAACTAAGGTTAGGATTTGCTAAAAGGTTGTAAGCAGTTAGAATTTTACCTGCAATAAGAAGCTGCCCATAGTTTCATGCGTACCTCTACATATGAATTACTTAAGCGAAAATGCTTTACACATTGTGTCAACTTATTTTACACAGAAGCCTCATCTGTTTCCCGTGCAAATACTTTCTTGGCTTATGTGAGACATGACAATATAGCGTTTGGATATCCTTTTAACAGCGCCGTATAAATAAACGAGGTGCTGCTGTGCACCTTCTCAACCTTACCATAATCTAGATTAAAAATACTTCTTACATAATCTAAGATCTTGTCACTGATGTATTTATAAGTCGGCATCAGTTAACATCTTGCAAGACTTTACAAGCCTCACTTCCTTTTGCATCCACAGCATCGCTGCTGTGGATGCAAAGTGCCTCAAGTGACAAGAGGAAGTTTGTGCTGCGAAGGTTGCCGAGCAGCGCATCAGGCAGAAAATAACGCGATAAAAGCACAGAACAAATTATCTCAAAGTACAACCCTCTCTGAATAAATGTGAGACCAATAAAATATGCAAACACACTCCCTCGCTCTGTGCACACGCACACAAACACACACATGCATGCTCACTCTCACATAGTTTCTCTTCCTCTCTCTTTTAAAACGCACTCAATATTCAGCTCATATCCGGGTTGACAGTTCTGCACCACCTCAGACTCCAGCCACATGAATGAAGGAAACAGGGACAGGGAATCCCCATGTCACTCATTATGAAACTCTCACACACACTTCACACCGCCAGGCATGGTTAATGTACATGTTCGGTGGGGGGTGAGCAGAGAAGTCGGTTGGCGGCAACAGGGAAAAGAAAATGTGAAGAAGGAAGGTAAAACAGAGTTGAGCAAAAAAAAAAAAAAAACACCAGATGCTTTGAGTTTTGCATGAAAGAAAAGCTATGTCTTTTCTTAGAAAGTGAAAATAAGAAGAAAAAAAAAAGAAACAGTCCAAGTGTGACGAATAAAGATAAAACACTTTTTAAAGTCAAAAGGTAACTTCAAATATTATTGAAAACAGGAAATTGATGTGAAAGGAAAGTGGTATAGATCAGAGGAATGACTATTTTTCAGCTAAAAACCACGTTCGCAAGTCATTTTAATCTGCTATATCTGTAGCATTTCCCAATAAATGTTGTAAGAAGCTATACGTTTTCATTAACATGTAGCTTGAAGACTTTCGGGAGGTTCCTTCAAAGTTCAGTAGGAGGCTACGTTCAGTCTGGGGGGAGAGAAACGAGAACTAAAACCTAAAGTTACATGCAGAGCAGACAGGACGACTTACAATAGTGGGTTTAAGAGGACGGGACAAGATTTGAGCTCAAATGTGCTTTAAAGAAACTCTTTTCTGTTCAAGTTCAGGCAAGACATTTCTATATATTTAGAAAATGTGCTACAGGTGCACGACTGCAGTCCAGATTCTGTGAAACAGTCAACAGAAAGACACTAGCTTTAGAATAGTTAGCAACTAGCGGTTAGCCAGTCGAGGTATTCTTAGAGAGAGCACCGTTTTGTTTTTTTTGTCAGCATTTTCTTCTAGAGCCAAAATACTGCACTTCCTGTCTCATTTCAAAATAAGAGTCTCAAATGCAGTAACAAGAATTCAGGCTTAAGGCCATCTCCTTCACATCTGTGGCTCACAATAATGGTTTATTACCAAGAACAGCACATAGATGGAGACTGCACAAGACTGAGATATACTCCGAGTTCGAACATGGCGTGCCAAAGCATCCTGTGACACTGCTAATAAAAGCCATGACACAAGTTTTCTTTCTTTTTTTCTAAACCAATAGGAGTATGTTGCAAAAAGAAAACAATGACATTGTGTTTCTTAAAGTGGAGCTTCGACAATGCATCTTATTTTCTCAGGACATCTTATCTCATTTGGTGGTTTCTTGTGTACTTTGAATTGGTGCAAATATGCACAATTGTGTTGAACCCAGTAGAACAGGCTGGGAGGTATCAATTCAAACGGAACTGGACAGCAGCAACGCGTCAATGTGTCTTCAATTAAAATCACTTAACAAGCCATGGAGGTTGTGTTTTGTTTTGTTTTATTTTTTTTTTACTCTGCACTCTAACATAATCGGTTTGAAACCCAAAAATCTTCCATTGAACCAATGACTTATTCGTCTGCAGGTGGCTCTGAGTTGACGCCGGTGATTTCAAATCTAACATAAACAACTTTAACTGGAAATATAACCCTGAAAAAGAAAATATTAAATCAGTCCAAAAAAGTTCAACACTTTTCCTTCACAAAAGCGAACCCAGAGCACTAGTGGAAGGAGGATCCCCACAGCATCATGCTGCCACCATCCCATCTAAACATAGGGGCTGACGTTGACGTGCGGCGTCTTTTTCCTCCACCCAGTATGTTTGCATTTAGCCCAAAAAGTTCTTGTGTGTGTGCTGTGTCCGCTTCATGGCTTGTGTCAAACATTACACGGGACTTCTGTAGGCTTTTTTTTTTTTTAAATTGGGCCATTAAAGGCTTTCTCATTGTTACGCTCTCATTAAGGGCAGTTTTGAAGACTTGACAATAAAGAGTAGCTTAGTCGCGGCCTTGAAAGTTCTAATTATGGCTCGTAAAGGAACTTCAAGCGCCCCGTGAACGCACCACCCAACTTCCCGAGAAGCCGGAGAATGGATTAATAATTTAGGCGACGCCCATTGCATTCCGGCTCGAGTCTCTCATAGGAGTTGACGGTGGTTTCAAAAATAGACAGTGAGATTTTATATAGATAGTTTTGTTTTTGTTTTTTTTGGTTGTTGATGTTTTTTAAGCTTGTGGATGAAGATGCAGTTACTGACAGGTGCTATGATGCATCACGCAGAGCTAAATAACCTTGCGTCAGGTCAAGCCATTCAATAACTTTTAAAAAAAAAATAAAAATAAAAAAGGAAGAGGAGGACCTGCATACTATCTCTGTCTGACACCGCATACTTCCTTTTATCTCTGCACAATCCGCCCATTATGCATGAGTGAACGCTGCACGGCCTCCAGAACCTTTCAGCTTTTCTAAACTCCATCTCTGATGTGTCAAGTGCAATTCAAAGAAAAAAATATAGTCGTAGCTGCAGTCAAGTTGCAAAAAAAGAAAAAAAATCAGTTTAGGTAAATGCACCTTCATCAAAGTCACAGGCACAAGCTGCTTCCTCATTTGGGCTTTGAAGGGACCGCACAGCTGTGAAGTGGAGAACTTATCTTAACTTTTTTATGCGTTTAATTCAAAAAAAAAAAAAAAAAAAAAAAAAGAACTCACAGACTTACCCCGAGTCACTGGCGGCCAGTCGCAACTTTTGCATGTCTTTGCTCTTTTTTTTTCTTTTTCGTTTTGTTTGCTTTTTTTTTTTTTTTTTCTTTTTAAATCAGCCAAGCATTCACGAGGCGCGCACTGAGGACCAACATGACCCCGACACATTTTCTTTCACTTTCAAGCTTTTGCAGGTCGGAATAATTTTTTAAAAAAAATCTCCCTCCCGTCCTCCTCCCACCCCACCTGAACATGAGCTCCAGGAACTCATGTGCGCGCTTTCTGTCCCATCTTTCCCCCCCTACCCTTCCTAACTGCTGCACCAGCCTCCCCGCTCCGCTGCGGCTCCACCATTCATACTGAGCCCGTCTGACAGACTTGCAGAGTAATAGATTTTCGCATTTCTGGGCACACCCACCAGTTCAAGACCTCCCATTTGTGCCGCAGCAGAGAAGGCTTGGTCATGAATGGAATTCTCTGGTTCCCGGATGAGCCGTGATCCCACGCTCAGAAGCATGCAGACATTCCGGACCTTTTAACAAACAATGCAATAAGTGATGACACCGATTATGGTGAGGAATGGGAGAGAAATGAAACCTTCTCTTCCGCAAAAAAACAGAAGTTAAAATAGCTTAAAGCTGCAGTTTGTAATAAAAAAAAAATTAGATAGATAGATAGATAGATAGATAGATAGATAGATAGATAGATATGTTAAAACTGTCACGATGTCATGACGGTGTGGTATGAGATAATCTGTGAAACAAGTGAGCTTCTCTGCCTTCTCCCCGTGCTCATTTGAAACAGCCAATCAGAGCCAGGAGGAAGGTCTTAACGCTGTCAATCATTCTTGTATATGCCGTTCACACCAAGTCTTCCCTTATTTTCTGCTATGCTACAACTTCCTCCTGATAACAGTCTGCCACAAATGCTAAGGCTAGTTAGCATGGTCACAAATAATACTCAAACAGTTTCCCTGTACCAATGGTTTCTCTACCATTGGTACATCGAGCAGCATGTAGCTGAGGATGATTGACAGCACTAAGACCCTCCTCCTGGCTCTGATTGGGGAGGTGGTGGAGCTCGATCTTCTCATATGCCATCTCATAATATACAATCACGACATAGTGAAAGTTTTACAAAATATGAAAAAAAAGTGACTTACTGCAGCTTTAACTGTCGAAATCTAGCAAGAGAAAAGCCCTTAAACACATTTTTCTCCCCACATTGCCACACTAGCAAAACACATTTCGATGTTTGTGGGATTTTATCATAGGCCAAATGAGTGCAGACATGAAAAGCAGAAGAAAATTTATACACGAGTTTCAATGAGTTTCATCAGAGGAGTCGACAAGAGAGCCATGGAAACTCTAGGTGGGAAGAAGAATCCCACAGTTTCAGGCATGCACTCCACAAAATGGCAAACAGAACGGCCACCGTTGAAAGGAAGCCATGTGGGCTTCATGTCCTGCACATGTTCCACGTGTAGGACAGAGTCAACACGTGGAGCATGGTGGCTCTGTCCATGCAAAGTGTTTGTGTGTGTGTGTGTGTCCAAATTTGCACACCATCTTTAGGGTGAGGCATGGCGCCAGTGGCATCATGCCGTGGGAATGTTTTTCTGTAACAGAATACGTGAGACTGGTTCACCTTACGTCGGACGATGAGCCTGTGCATAGGACTGGATTGTAGCATAATCATGAGTTGGAAAGAACCAGTCCAGACCTACATCTTGTGAACCGTCTTATCTTTAGTACGCCATCGATTCTCTTTCAAGGTGTACAATTTTCTACAAACTTTAAAGCTCTGCCAAAAAACACAAAGATGTATTCATGTCTTTACCTTTCCAAAATTAAAACTCTTACCATGGCGGCACTTTGAATTCTACAACTATTATCCATTATCCCACTTCTACAGATTACATTATTGAACATTTTGTACTTGTAATAGCATCTATCCACCTTCTGTGCCCATTCAGTTCATGCGGGCTCATGGAGGATGTGCTGGTGCCTACGTCTACGGCACCAGAGTTGTGGGGTCCACCCTCGACGGGACTCTGGTGCCTCGCAGGGCAACACGGCTCCTTGGTGAAGGGAAAATACCTGTCTCCAGGGGTCGGGCTACATAAAACACTCTCTGAAGGATTCGTCTCACAACTTTTGTGTTTGCACATCAGGAACTGCAGACAATTACAGTCATCAAAGTTTTGTTTGCAGAGTCTTTTCATGGCCTGTGCCGGGAGGATTGGTACTTTCCCAGCGTAAAGCGAACCATCTGTGATTTAAATCTTACGGCGAATCATCCAGCTGTTGTGAAAACAGATCAGCACAATATATCACTGCAAGCCAACATAAAAAAAAAATAAAAAATAAACTTTATAGAAGTGTTAAATTTTACATGAACAGTAGATACAGTAGATACGCTTAAACTTTTTCATTGTACACTGGCCCTATAGGTTTTGTCACTGACACGAAGTCTACTGGATGCCTGTAAGGTCCAAAATTGACAGAGATATAGTTTCGTCTTCTGATTGGTTTTTATCATCATATCACTTTTTAATGCTGCAAACAATTTGATTTAAAAAAAAAATTCACAGTATAGTGAACTGCATGAAGAGTAAGGGCTTCTCTAAGCTGATGGGAGGTCCTGTAGAGTTCAATTTAAACCAATGCTAAATCTACTAGGACACTATATTTTGCTATTTTCATATCATTTGCTTATGTTGGAGGAAGCTGGTATATTAAAAACAAGTCATGCATATCCAAAAGGGAAATTTAGAGCCTTTTTGTGAACATGGAGGAAGTAAAAGCAGAAGCTGATATAAAAACGGGAGTGACTTCCTTGCAGCTTGTTTCGTTTAGCTTCGTAGACACATGCTACAAAGAGGAGAAAGAGGTTTTCCCCTGTCCCCCCCCCCCCCTTACATGCTCAAATGTGATACCTTCTGTCATTAAATGTTGCTTCTCAAAAGGAGTCAACAAGAGGATTCTCCCAAGGAAGCGCACTTTGTTTTGTAAGGCATAAACCGGAGTGCAATCTAGTCAGTTTCTACATAAACAGTTATATAACGTGACAAGGTCTGCAATCGTCAACTACTGCACCAGATGTGACGCAACCGCTGGGTTTATAGTTCGCTTGACCTTTTGGAAGAAAAGTGGACGTTAGAGAAGAGGGAAACGCAGATGTGGTGACATGTCAGGAAGTCCTCCCACACCAGATGTTTCAGTCGTGTTTCTTGAAAAATTGTTCTAAATCCCGTTGAAGCAGTTCCCTCTGTGCTTTGAGCAGCATGCAGAGGAAAACCTAATCTAAGTAAATAAGGGTGTGAAAGCAACCCGACATGCAGATCACCTGTTTGCATACAGGTGGGAAAAACTTTGTTTTGTTCCAACTGCACTGAGTTGGATGTTTTAAAAGTGACTTCTTATACTTCCTTGAACAGGTCAGGATAGGTCTATGGGCTATACAAAACCTGTTCATTCATAGATTATGAGTTTTCAGTCTGGTTAGTTCGACCTGTGTTACTTTTAGAAAGAGCTGTTTGTTTCAGGGCCTCTTGTCACTTTAAATCCAAATAAGCTGGTGCTGGCCATGCCTCCCAACTTAACGTTTACACTCGCATGTGAAAATGACTGCAACTAAAGAACCGCACATCTTTGACAAGCAGAAGTGGAGCCTCCTGCGCAGCCAACAAGAATGCAGCAAGTGGTTTCTGAGTAGTTGGTCTTTTCCAGCAGCCATTGTACAGTGCAGAACAGCTGTAAAACCAACTGACCAAACGTCCAAGTGCTCTGCTTGGGTTGATAAGTAACGGAGCTGGGTTCAGCTGGGGTTCGTTTTGGGGCTGAACTCTTTCTTCACCAGACCAGATTGAAGTGGCACAAGCATTACTGAAGAAAATTTGACACAATTGGGTCTCCAGGCAATCTACCCAAACTCTTCCCGTCATCACTCAAACACCTCATCAAGACACCCAAATTCCTCCACTTGAGGCAGAAATTTGACTTGAAGAAAGCAATCCATCTTATCCTCAAGCCCGGCCTCAGATGTAAGAGAGGATGATGTAAGCTCTGGGAAAAAAAAAAAGTAAAGATGAAATCAGTTTTTATTAAACACACCCTCTCTACTACGCCATGAGAACTTGTTCACAAACCGCTGACGACCAGCAGCCATGTGCCCAACCCATAACGTGAGCAAAAAAACAATACCAGCATATTCCATGGTGTTACTGTCTATTAAACAAATATACCAAAAGACAACCACTGTAGTACACCATGATTCAGTAACTTGTAAATCTAACCTTTAACAGACAGAAAAAAAAAGAAAAAAAAGTGAAGCAGTCACTTTCTGTTTGACATGATCGGTCTCTGACATCATTGTGAGAGATTCCACTTTAGTTTACTCTTCTTTGCAACAATGCTCCGTCTCACTGAGGTTTATAAGTATCCATTTATGTACAGCCCTTTTGTTTCCAATGCAGCTTTTAAATCAAGTTGAGATCTGGACTTTCTCTGGACCATTGCAAAAACACTTAAAGTCTTTTACTTTTCAGCCATAATGTTGAGAGTTTGAATTAAATGGATCTAACTTTAGATGTACTCAAAATTTGACAACACAATACTTTTAATGTTTGGATCCTAAGGCAGAGATGGGGGTTTTAGTCAACAACTTGGACTGGAGGGGCTTGGGATTAAAGTCTCATGAATAATATTTACACTAATTAGACTGGTAAATCAGTGGCTATATATAGATTTTTGTTTTGTTTTTGGTCTAAAAAACAAAAAACTTTACGAGTTCTTGTCCTGTGGTGAAAGAATCATTAGAAAAATCACACAAGGTCACGACAAGATGGAAATAGAGGAGTGAGCAGGCTTTTTAACAACGTTTCTGTTCCATTAATGTCCCTGATTGGGCTCCATTACTTGTCGTTAATGGCAGGATTTCAGTCATTTTCTCCACTTTTCATAGTCGGCAGAGAAAATGCATCTTTGGAGGTAAAAATCGGACTTTTCCAGAGGTTTGCCCTCGATTCTTGCCTACTTTCCTTGCGTTTCATCTCCTTGGTGGTCCTCGGTCGGCCCGTTGTTTACAAGAGAAGATCACAGCCTGGGAAGGAACTGTTTACACGAGTGTTAAAACTGAATGCACAAAACTCCCGATAAAGTTAAGACGTGAGAAAAGACAAAAGGTGGAGGGCGTGTTCTCTCTGACACACATCGATTATTGTGGAAACAAACACAATGGCGTTTTATTTTTCCCCCCAGAGAGACAGCACTCCTTTTCCCACAGGCTTCACAGATAATGAGCTGCTTAAAAAAAGAAAAGAAAAGAAAAGCAACATTCACTCAAGGTTGTCCGTTTCCCAA